TAAATATTATATACTTTTATATGAATAACAACTGATATAATTTAACAGATTTCTTTGCAATACCAAGAAGTATATGTATGTATATGTAAACAGCAACAATTATTAATTTAACATCAAATTGAGAATCAAAAATCATTTTAAGTGCACATATGTGAACAATTTGTAAGACAAAGTCAAAGTCAGTTTACTCAATTCATTTATGCTAAACACAATAACTAAAAACGAGAAACCATTTCAAATTTCCAAGATTAGTTGTGCCAATCGGAAAACAGATGAAAAACTCTTTACTTGAGCGTTAGAATACAACCAAACAAATGCAAAGAACAGAAGAAACAATAGCCAAGACAAACAACCAACAACAACAAAAACAACAACAATAGCCCAAAATAATTGAACTAAAAATTGATCACATATATATGTATCAATATATATGCCAAGAAATCAAATGAAGAAGACAACAACAACAAATAAAAAAAACACACACACACAGCCTGACGTCGATTGTACTTTTCTTTTTTCTTCAAGCAAAAACCAATATAAAAACAAACAGTTTAATTAAACAATAGTACTACTCTAACTACAACAACTAAAATAGCAAACAGTAATAGAAATAGCCATAGCCACAAACAATTAACTATAAACCAATACAAACACACACACACACACAAAGACAATTATCAATTTACTAACAGCAAGCGAGAGCGAGACTTTTCCAAAAGAGTTTTTTTCCAATTGAATAGCAATAACCAATACAATAGCCACATAATTAAATGATCATACTATATACAATAGACAGGACAGCAAACAAATATTAAAAAAAAAAAAAAAAACAAAGAAAAAAGAAGCAGAACATGATGCGAGGCGAGCGCTGAGCTGAGCTGTTTGCTGCGCATGGCGTATACGCAATATATGTTGCGCATACGCCGAATGGCACCACACAAACTAAAAAACCAACAAGCTCAAAAGTAAATGAGAACAATTTTTATTTCAATTATCCACTATCAACTACAACATACAGTAAAATATAAATAAAATTACAACCACAAAAAACAAAAACAATAGCCCTAGCAGAACATATTAAGCATATTAATCCATTTAAAAAATAAAAATAAAATAAAATAGAAAACAAAAATCAGCAA